TTATTTGTTTAATCTCAAAATTGAAGATTCCAAATTATGAATTAGCACATATGTCATACATTGACAGTCTAAAAATACATATTTCAGACTGGGATAATGTGGTTCTTTTAATAGGAAAACAGGTTTAATTGGGACAAACTGTAAGGAAACAAATCTTCTTTGAACTGTTTTTTAAATAATAATAAAAAAAAATCACTTCTTTATCAAAACACTGATACAATAAATAACTTTCAGGAAAATCAACAATGTCAAATATTTGTTTTAAAATGTGTTGGTCTTTTACCCCGACATATGTTGTAGTATATTCTGATCAGTTTTTGTAATGTTTTAAACACTTTTGTTTTTATTGTACCTGTAGTTAAAAAAACAAACTCGGAGAAAAAAAAAGCTAAAAAAAAAAAAAAAGCAGTAATTCTAGAAATCATGTTTTACTTTAACCTGAGGATGGCAGCAGTGGTACTCTCAAGTAATAAGTGATTAGTAATTAGTTTAGTCACAAAAATATATCAACATTAAAAATTAAAAACCCTACTTTCGTCTTTTTAGAACCAGTTTTTGCACAAAATGCTGCAGAAGGAAAAGTTCTGAAAGCTCATCTAGGAGTATTCTATGAAGTTAGAGATAAAGAACAACTCAACCCATTTAATATGTCTTTTATGCAGAATCTTGAAAGACTGACACAGCACACATGAATTAATATGTATGTAGATTTATTAACAAGGAGCTTCATGAAGATCTAATCTGTTTTCGGTTATTTCTTTGGAAAATACAGATGTGCTCGTTAGATTTCCTGTTGATCTATACTGAACTGCCTCTGGAGCCGATCAGGTTTTGATCCTCCAGGATAAAAGTAAAGGTTTGCTCTTTTTACTATTTTATGTTTATGTTTGAATGCAAAAACGATGATGTTGGGATTGATGATGATTTCTGGAAGGCAATTAAAGACAAAGCTTTAAAAAAGGAGAAGTGGCCCCTTCCTCTCGTGTTTCCAGGGTTTTTATCACAGTTTGTTTGGTAATGAGCTCCATGTCTTGGACGTTGGACGACCAGGTTCGTCTTGACAACAGTTAATCTTCTTATACGTTTAGAAAGCGTGGCAGCCATATTGGATTCTGAGATCAGGCTTGGCGACTAACAAATTGATTATTTTAGTCAAAATTCTGACTTTGTGTTCAAGTTACTTTTCTTTTAAACTTGGAAAGTTTGTTCTGTATTTAAGTAAATTTAAAATATGTAGTCAAAGTGGTTCTTGGTCTCTGTTTAGCATGTTAGAACGCTAATATGCATCAGTTATTTGGTTTGGAGGTTTGACTTAATTCATATTTTCAGTTTATTTTTGTCAATTTGGTAATTCTGTAACGCGAGAGTCACTGGATGCACTGAAATAAAAAACAAAACAAAAAAAAACAAAAAGAAAAGACTAATTCTCACTTGTTTGAACACATTTAATAAGTTTGGCAGCTAGTATTAGCAGCTAACCACAGCAGGCTAACAATTGCTTGAAAAACATAAATGCTCTACAGAGGTCGGTCAATTCAAGTGAAATAAACTGATCCAAGTTCATTATAGGCAATGCATTTTTTTATTTTAACTAAATTTAGAGATACTGGAGATATAGGAGAACACACCAGCATCAAGCTTACCAAATATGAGTGAAATGACTGACTAAATTGTTCTACATGTAAATAAACATGTTAGATACAATTAAATTTAGGAGATAGTAGCTCGTACTCGTACTCGTCGTCTCCCGCTTTATCCGGAACCGGGTCGCGGGGGCAGCAGGCTAAGCAGAGACTCCCAGACTTCCCTCTCCGCAGACACCTCCTCCAGCTCTGTTGGGGGAAGCCCTAGGCGCTCCCAGGCCAGCCGAGAGACATAGTCTCTCCAGCGTGTCCTGGGTCGTCCCCTGGGCCTCCTCCCGGTGGGACATGCCTGGAACACCTCCCGAGGGAGGCGTCCAGGGGGCATCCGAAGAAGATGTCCGAGCCACCTCAACTGACTCCTCTCGATGTGGAGGAGAACCGGCTCTACACTGAGCCTCTCCCGAATGACCGAGCTCCTCACCCTATCTCTAAGGGAGAGCCCAGCCACCCTGCGGAGAAAGCTCATTTCAGCCGCTTGTATCCGGGATCTCGTTCTTTCGGTCATGATCCAAATTTCATGACCATAGGTGAGGGTAGGAACGTAGACCGACCGGTAAATTGAGAGCTTTGCCTTTTCGCTCAGCTCTCTCTTCACCAGGACAGACCGGTGCAGCGTCCGCATTATTGCAGCAGCCGCACCGATCCGTCTATCGATCTCCCGCTCCATTCTTCCCTCACTCGTGAACAGGACTCCAAGATACTTGAACTCCTCCACTTGAGGCAAGGACTCCCCTCCAACCCGAAGGGGACAAGCCACCTTTTTCCGGTCGAGAACCATGGCCTCGGATTTGGAGGAGCTGATTCTCATCCCGGCCGCTTCACACTCGGCTGCGAACCGCCCCAGCGCACGCTGTAGGTCTTGGCAGGAGGGAGCCAGCAGAACTACGTCATCCGCAAAAAGCAGGGACGAGATCCGCTGTTCCCCAAACCAGACCCCCTCCGGTCCTTGGCTGCACCTAGAAATCCTGTCCATAAAAGTTATGAACAGGACCGGTGACAGAGGGCAGCCCTGTCGGAGTCCAACATGCACCGGGAACAGGTCCGACTTAATGCCGGCAATGCGAACCAGACTCCTGCTCCGCTTGTACAGAGAACGGATGGCCCCTAATAAAGGGCCCCTGACTCCATACTCCTGGAGCACCCCCCACAGGGCAGCACGAGGGACACGGTCGAATGCCTTCTCCAAGTCCACAAAACACATGTGGACTGGTTGGGCAAACTCCCATGAACCCTCAAGCACCCTACAGAGGGTGTAGAGCTGGTCCACCGTTCCACGGCCAGGACGAAAACCACACTGCTCCTCCTGCAGCCGAGGTTCGACAATCAGCCGGACTCTCCTCTCCAGCACCCTGGCATAGGCCTTTCCGGGGAGGCTGAGAAGTGTGATTCCCCGATAGTTGGAACACACCCTCCGGTCCCCCTTCTTGTGGAGGGGAACCACCACCCCAGTCTGCCAATCCAGGGGAACTGTCCCCGACCTCCACGCGATGTTGAAGAGACGTGTCAACCATGACAGCCCGACAACATCCAGAGCTCTGAGATACTCAGGTCGGATCTCGTCCACCCCCGAAGCCTTGCCACCGTGGAGTTTTTTGACTACCTCGGTGACTTCAGCCTGGGTGATGGACGAACCCAGCCCCAAGCACCTCGTCTCTTCTTCCCCCACGGAAGGCATGTCTGTCGGGTTGAGGAGATCCTCAAAGTATTCCTTCCACCGCCCGACAATATCCTCCTTCAAGGTCAGCAGCTCCCCACACCCACTAAAAACAGTGTTAGTGAAGCACTGCTTTCCCCTCCGGAGGCGCCGGACGGTTTGCCAGAATCGCTTTGAGGCCAACCGATAGTCTTTTTCCATGGCCTCTCCAAACTCCTCCCAGGCCCGAGATTTTGCCTCTGCAACCGCCCGGGCCGCGACACGCTTGGCCTCACGGTACCTGCTTGCTGCTTCAGAAGTCCCACAAGCCAGCCAGGCTTGATAGGACTCCTTCTTCAGCTTGACGGCATCCCTTACTATCGGTGTCCACCACCGGGTTCGGGGATTGCCACCACGACAGGCACCGCAAACCTTACGGCCACAGCTACGGGCAGCCGCATCGACAATAGAGGCAGAGAACACAGCCCATTCGGACTCCATGTCTCCAACCTCCCTCGGAACCTGAGAGAAGCTCTCCCGGAGGTGGGAGTTGAACACGTCTCTGACCGAGGGCTCCACCAGACGTTCCCAGCAGACCCTCACTACACGTTTGGGCCTGCCGAGTCTTTCAGGCTTCCTCCTCTTCCAGCGTATCCAACTCACCACCAGGTGGTGGTCGGTGGACAGCTCCGCCCCTCTCTTCACCCGAGTGTCCAAGACATGCGGCCGAAGATCAGAAGATACGACTACAAAGTCGATCATCGACCTTCGGCCTAGGGTGTCCTGGTGCCAAGTGCACCGATGGACATCCTTATGCCTGAACATGGTGTTCATTATGGACAATCCGTGACTTGCACAGAAGTCCAATAATGAGACACCACTCGGGTTCAGAGCTGGGGGCCCGTTCCTCCCGATCACGCCCCTCCAGGTGTCACTGTCGTTTCCCACGTGGGCGTTGAAGTCTCCCAGCAGAATGATGGAATCCCCGGGAGGGGCGCTTTCTAACACCCTCCCCAGGGATGCTAAGAAGGCCTGGTACTCCGTACTGCCGTTCGGCCCATAGGCCGAAACAACTGTCAGAGTCCTCCCTCCAACCCGAAGGCGAAGGGAGGCGACCCTCTCGTCTACCGGGGTGAACTCCAACACGAGACGGCTGAGCTGGGGGGAGACAAGCAGCCCCACCCCCGCCCTCCGCCTCTCCTCGCGGGTAACTCCAGAGTAGAAGAGAGTCCAGCCTCTCTCAAGGAGCTGGGTTCCAGAGCCCTGGCTGTGCGTAGAGGAGAGCCCAACTATTTCTAGCTGGTATCGCTCCACCTCCCGCACAAGCTCGGGCTCCTTCCCCCCCAGTGAGGTGACATTCCACGTCCCCAGAGCTAGTTCAAGCGCCCGCGGATCAGGTCGCCGAGGTCTCCGCCTCTGGCTGCCGCCCAATCCTCTTTGCACCGGTCCCTCATGGTTCCCCCTGCAGGTGGTGGGCCCACTGGGGGATGGCCTCGCGTCGCTCCTTCGGGCTGGGCCCGGCCGGGTCCCGCGAGGAAGAACCCGACCACCAGGCGCTCGCCGACGAACCCCAACCCCAGGCCTGGCTCCAGGGTGGGGTCCCGGCTCCGCCGTACCGGGCGACGTCACGTGCCTCGTTTGAGTCCTCGTCATAAGGGTTTTTGAGATAGTAGCTAAAATCTCTTTATTTTTATGCAAATTTAGGTCAACTGGCAAAAAATTAAATTTCATTGTTTGATAGAAATACTCGTATGAAAAAAATATTTACTGCAAAGTAGCCACATTGTGATTAGGTTTTTTTTTTTTTAAATAAGGGAATGAGTTTTAAAATGATCTTCGATTGCAAACGTCTACAAGGACTCAAGCAAAGAGCAACGTGATGGAAATGAGTAATGTGAAAACTGATCAAGGCCATAAAAACGGGAGCCATTAAACCAAGATATCTTAACTCTCCCATTTTGATTATTTCAATATAACTTTTGCACTGGATGCACTGAAACGCAAAAAAAGGACTAATTCTCACTTGTTTAAACACATTTAATAAGTTCTGCAGCTGGTATTAGCATGATAGCGGGCTAACAATTGCTTGAAAGATCAATGGTGGGTCAATTCAAGTGAAATAAACTGATCAAGATTCATTATACTCAATGCATTTTTTTATTTTAACCAAATTTAAAGACACAGATACAGGAGAACGGCAGCATCAAGCTTACAAAAGATAAATAAAAGGATCGACTAAAATCGCTCCTACATGGAAAAAAACATATTTATTCGAATCTATGACGACATGTGAGAAAAATAAGGTAGGTTCATTTTTTTAATGCAAAATTTGAGTCAACTGCCAATAGAGTAATTAAGTAAATTCATAATTAAACTTTATTGTTTGCTAGAAATGCTTGCAGTATGAAAAAAAGTATTTGCTGCACAGTAGCTTTATTTATCAATATATTTTTTTACAAATGCCACATTGTGATTAGCTTTTTTTTTTTAATAAGGGAATGAGTTTTAAAATGATCTTCGATCGTCAAACGTCTACAAAGATGCAAGCAAAGAGTAACGTGATAAAAATGAGTAATGTGCAAACTGATCAAGGCCATAAAAACTGGGGCCATTAAACCAAGATACCTGAACTCCCCCTTTTTGATTATTTCAAAATAACGTTTACACTTTAGTCAATGGGGTTTAGAAGCTGTTTTTTTTGGTCATAAATGTGGGCGTTTTAAAGCTTTAAATGTAGGCCTTTTTTAAGCAATCCGGCCTTAAATCCTGCTCTCTGTTCGCATAGATACGCAGTAAAATGCAGCGCATCGTCTTTTATGCTGCTGATAGAACAGCTTTGTTCCTTTTCTTTTTCATTAACCTTTGGTACACGAGCTTAAGAAGTCGACAGTGTTTCACTGCAAAAAAGAGGGTGAGGTGAAAAAAAGAAAATAGAGGGAAAGAGATAATCATGATTTTGGCATCTTTATTTCCTTCCTGCCTGCTCAGTCTAGGGAGGAACAGCTTCTGGAAAGCGGCAGTGAAAAAAAAAAAAAATCTTTATTGGTTTTCCAATTACCACGGCAGCAGCTTCAGCTAATACAAAACAACACGGCTGTGTAAAATACATAAAGCACAGATGTTTGAAGACACCATGAAATGATGTTTGTTTTTATTTGAAGGTTGATGACGTTCCTTCCCACGCTTGGCATCATCTGCCAGAGAACATCCGGATTTTGTGCTTGTCCGCCAGCAGCAAGGTGACATTATACTCATAATCTCCATCATGGACTCCCGTGTGTCTGAAAGCGCCGGCCAAATGGTTCTCCTCCCAGTAGTGGTGCCAGTTTCCGTACTGGTCGGCACCGAATCCAAACACACTGACCTGAAACAGAAAAGCAGTTCAATCCCTGTCAATATCAGTCTATAGCAGGCCTGGATTATTTCTTTAATTTCCAATATCTTAATATTGACACCACTATTTCTGATTCCCCCAAAATGCATTAGAAATCAGAATTCAGGAAAACTAAAGTCAGCATGAGGAGCATGCTTGTAAGCCGTTTGTAACATAAAGCAACATTTAAGTTGTAAAAATATCTGTTTTTAATTTATAAATATAAAAAAAGGCACAGTAAGAAATGACTTGAAAACTTATTAATAATCAGCGGATAAATGTTTTTAAATGTGACAGAAATCAAAGCGTTTCTTTTAATGCTTACCCACCAGCCTTTCTCTCATGTTTCCACTAATAGCTTATCTTTAGTGATGAACTCAAAGCCTTTGAGGTCAGAAGGTCTCTCCACCATCACCCTAATCTCCAGCTAACTCCCAGAGGTGGCTAATAGTTTGCTACATTTAGTCAGTCATATTTATTTAATTTACTTTTAGAGAAAAACTATACTTTTTACTTTAACTAAAGTAATATTTTGGTGAGAGTATTGCTGCTCTTGGTTACTTTTCCTACTGGAGCAAGTCAAAGATCAATAGATATTCTCTCTGGAAGTTTGTTACAGTATCTTTCCTGACGTATATGCATCACCTACTAGAAAATAGCTTTTAATCATTTATGTTGACAAATTTATTTGGAACAGTGTTTTGAAATCATGCTATTTATTATTATTTATTTATACTTTAACAGAATTCACACACCTCTCTGTCGGATTAGATCATTTTAACCATTAAATCAGATTTTAGAAGCCAGCAATGACTCAGTACTTGATTAGCCATTTTACCAAGTACTTCTACTCAATTCATTCTAAAATGACTACTTTCTACTTTTATTGGAGTAAAAACTGTTAAAGTAGTGTCACTTTTACTCATCAAGAACAGAATTGCACATAACCTGTCATGACCATGAGATTTAAATTCATAATAATGAGATACTAAGTCATGTTTTTGACTTTTGAAGTCATAATTATGCAATAATTATCTCGTAACAATAGCTTCAAACTTATAATAATGGGTTATTATTTTCACTTTCACTTTATTTTTTTAGCAAATAATCCAACATTAAACAACAAAACAACAATATCAAAACAAAACAAAACCAACAATTTACCAAAAAAAAAAAAGGAATAGGCTGAAGCAAAGCTTATTATTGCCTACCCTGTTTTTTGTTGTTGTGCTGATGCCATTTTTTTGGCCTGATACCTGGCTGTGCAGTATTGGCTGATATCGATACCATACCGATACCATCTGTTTGAAATTGATGTGTGTGTGTATATATATGAAGAACTGCATACTACTTGGATTTAAAATAATTGCCATCATGGCTTTGTCAAGCTGCTGCCTACCTTTGTGAAGCAGGAAAAAGATTAATACAAAGTGAATCCAGTAGAACTTTTTATTGCCTACCTGGAATGGGTGACAATAGTTGAATAAACTTTTGGCTTTAAAAATGGTATTGGTGCCCTATTTGTTGGTACTCGCCGATATCGATACCATTTTAGTGCTCGATCGGGGCCCCGCCTGATACTTGTATTGGTAATGGTGCAACATTAACTATTCATTGTCGTGAAACATTTTATACATCATAATTATGACAAAATATCTCATAACAAAGTTTAAATCTTAATTATGAAAAAATTCCAATTTTTACTTTCAAGTGGTAGAAACCAGCTTCTATTTCTACTTGAATAATATTTTTTTTTAAAGTAGCCATACTACTGTACTTTTGCTAGTAATTAGGTATATTTATTTAGTTATATTTACTTATGCACATTGTTAACTTTCAGTTGATTCATATATTTATAGAAATATCTCTCCTTTTCTTGAGCAAAATGTTGGGTTTTAGTAACTTTAATGAATAGGGAAGAAGCTTGTTTTAAACAGAAGTGCTTCAAATAAAGACACTGATGTTTCTTAAAGCTACAGTGTGTAATAATTACAGGGATATACAGTCAGAAATGTAATATATTATACATAACTATGTTATTTATCATCATCTACGAGCTCAGCCTCTTAACCTTAATATTTGCGTTGCCTTAAAATTCGTTATTTATAATTACATAGGAGCGAGTCTCGCAGCCATGGAGGCAGACATCTTTGCGCTACAGCAGCGCAGAGCAAACAAACTAGCGATTGCGAGATCGCCCATTACGCTCGAAAGTAACTACGGCAAGTTGAGAGAGATGAACTGAGACGGTACTGAACAATAGATGGCAGTATTATGCCATCATCACTTGAGAAGGTAGGTGATGCGGACGTCGTGGAAGACATTTTGTCCCGTAACGCTCGCCGTACTGTTGGGGGGGAGAAGCGGTGGGGGGGAGATGTTCATGTTGCTGCGGTCTGCAGTCTGGATATTAGATGTCGCTGAAAATTACACACTGTAGCTTTAAAGTGTGTGTTTCTCTTTTTTACACAAGCTAACTTAATATATGTGATGAACCTGGAGGTAAAGCTAGCATGGAGGAAGCTCACTGGAGGGAAGTCACATGTAGCTTTGCTTAACCTGCTGTGGCCATTGGTTTTAATAAGTTTAATGATGAAAAGAAAACATATTAGTGTTCCTTCTCTTTTCTTTTTCATTTGTAATATTTCAAATATGTAATTAATTGGTTTCAAATATCATATATTTTAAAAAATATAAATATTCATACATAACTTTACTTTTGGCTCTGTTCTTATTTGAAAAGAGAAATGCAATTTAGAAATGAAACTTTGCATTTTTCCGATTTAACTATTTCTTATTCTTATATATTGTTAAAAAACAAATTTGTCATATTGTATTTTAAAAAAAAATCATTTTTGTAAAAGATTTTCCTTTTCCATGTATTTCCTGATTTAATATTTATCATAATTATTTTGTGCTTTTCAGATCGAGATTTACGGCTTGCTTTATTTTCAAATTGCGTTTCATAGATCACATTCTCTTCACCTCCAGCCCAATACAAATGCTGGCTCTTGACGAGCACATGGACCAAAAATATGTTTTTGCTAATGTCCAGCAGACCAATAGAAATGTTGCTTTGCTCCTCACGCCAGAGGAAATCCCGCCCCCTGAAGCGATAAGAATATGATCTGCAGGAAGGGAATTCTGAAAAGGGAAAATTTGATAAAAAGTGAAAAAAAAATAATATAAGTAGAAAGCAAAGTTTCTCTCAAAACCAAACTTAATATACTCATATTAGAATTTAATCAAATTTTAAAAGAGAATGGGATCTGTAAAACACCTTTCGAAAAGAAGATTAAAAAAACTCAATCTGAAAAAACAAATATAACTAAAAATTCAATTTGAAAAAGATTTTAGAAATTCACATTTCAAAAATATATGATTAAAAAACGTTAAAATATATGAAAAATGGAAACAAATGAAAAATCACTAACTAGAAAAATTATTTAAATAAAATAAAATGAAACAAATATGAAAGAACTAAAAAAGTTGAAAAAAAAAACCCTTTTTGGACTAAAAGTATTTGTTTTCAGGATTGTATAGTTCTTTCAAATTGACATTTTCAAAAGATGTTCTTTGCTTTCAGCAATAAAAATGAACAAAATTAACTCTATAGGGCTCATAGATTCTAATATCTGAGCTGAAGATTTCTGCAGCTCCTCCAGAGCTACAGAAAGCCCCTCTGCTTCTACTGATCCTTGCTGTCCGTACAGATGGATTGCGATTGGTTGGCAGCAGTTTGGCTTCATCTCCACTTTTTTCCAGACGACTGATTGAAGAGTTCTTACCTGGTCACATATGTGGAGAGCGAGCAGCAAACTAAGGAAGCCAGTTGAGGGATATCGTCCATGACCTTCCAGCCAGGACTCGTGGACGTATTTGAAAAATGTTGGACTGTAAATCAAAACCTAAAATAGCAAAAAAATAAATAGATTCAGTTATATGCATTTGAATTGAATGAGAACACCTTGTTAATGAGCATGTTTAAACTCACCTTATCTTTGTTTGCCTTTATTCTGGGCATAACAGGTAAATATGTGCTGCAGAAAACAGACACACGACAAAATTATAGCTTCTTTCATTCTAAAGAAACAAAGAATAAAACTGCCTTTCCTCATTGAACCTGCGTGAATTGAACTAATTTAACCTGATGAACAGGTACAGGACTAAAAGCCCACACTTACTTTCCATATTTTCTTTTTTGCACTTTCCACCATTTGTCACACGAGAGCATCTGGTGTGAAGCTGAAAGTGAAGACACTAAATATTTAAATAGAGGTGTGTGTGCAGCACCTGCTGGGGAGCCCATGTTTGGTGAGGAATGAAAAATGTCTTCTTTGAATGCAAATGAGGACAAATAGCACTCTGTCCTTTCACATAAACTCATTTTAGAGCCCAGACTGCTTTAAAATGAAGCTAAATCCACAGAACAGAGTTCAGATTTGATGGATTTTGGGGGTTGAACCTGAAATTCCGGCCAGTTGGGTTAAAACTTAATGATGCAGACAGATTACTTTGGCAGCAGGACAACTCTACACTTATGAGTAGCATTTGCCTGGAAATGTTCACCTTCTCATAATGGAATGATTGATTTATTAGCTCTGGCTTTGCTTGGCAGCAGCTCTGTTTTACCTCTGTAGAAAAACCGTTAGTGTGTGACTGGATGGCAATCTGGTGTTAGAGCAGTGGAAATGAATCTGGGAGTGGGACACATGCAGCATGCATGATAATGCATCTGCGGCTTGACAGGGAGGATAGGTGAGGGCATTAAATGTTAAGCAATAACCATGTTTAAAATGTTCATTGTGACAAATGTAAAACAAAGTTACGGTTAAAACTAGTTTTGCGCCAATGCTATTTTTTGGCATGGACAGGACCAGTGCGTAGTCAGTATTCTTTATTATTTTGCTCTTTTATCTGACCGAATCCCTCTCACCAGCGTGGCGCCTTGTCTATCGAATGTAAACAGAGTTGTGTCGGCTTGCCGAGTTGTTTTACTCGGGTAGACACACGTCTGTCAGCTGCTATCACTATCACTAAAAACGATTGTTCACGTGTTTAAACAGGTTTTTCGGCGAGTGGGTAAGGGCTATACGTCTGCTTCTGCCTCATTAAACCCAAGTCGGCCTCAGCAGATGGCCGCTCATACTGAGCCTGGTTCTGCTGGAGGTTTCTTCCTGTTAAAAGGGAGTTTTCCTTTCCACTGTCGCTACAGGCATGCTTAGTCTCTAATAATGGCCTGTCTGGCTGTTGGCAGAGGTAAATAATGGCCGGACTTTTATACAGGCTGTGGCTATAATCAGAGCCAACAATGTTCCCGGGCAGTCCTCAACAACCTGTGATAGTAACATACAAGTACCACAGGGGGGCAATGTTTGCTAACGAATCCAAGCCATTAGCATGGTAAGTCCCATCCTTAGGGCAGACAGTGCCGCAGACAGGAGGTCGACTTGTTTTGTTTTTATGACCGAATTTGCGGAAAACAACTCGTGAAGTTGGACCAGCTAGAAGAGTGAGGTGCGTGAGAACGCTAGGACCCTTTTTCCACCTGGATCTCCGGTCTTTTTCGCCGTCTAATCCCTCTGTTGTCGGACTACTTCCCCCCACTTTCTCACCGCCTCGGCCGTATCTAGACCCATAGTGTATAGCGCAGACCATATAAAGCATAAATCAAAATTCAGTTTTCAGTTTATTAATATAGCCCTTTACAATTCAACCAATGTCTGCGTCAAGCTCACTGCGACACACTGCTGCAGGAGTATAACCAGCCACACAATCGTTCTGATCTGAAAGGCAGAACATTTTTTTTGCTGTGATTGCAGAACAGTTTCCATTAATTTAAAAAAAAACGTTGTTTCGCAAATCAGTTTGGCCAAGATTCCACTCTGTCTTTTTTTTTTTTTTCCCATATTCCCGTGCAGAAAAATTGCAGCTGCTGGAAGATGTCTGAATAATGGTCTGTATACCATTATGGTAACTGTACTTTTTCTATAAATGAACCGAGTATTTTAAAGGTTCAAAGAGACAAAAAATCTGTTTTGATCAAATAGAAATAGAGGCCTGCCTCTAATTCTGGCCTCCTTCCAATAATGGCCTGAACCAAGATGTAGCTGAGTGAAATAAAGGCCCCGTCCTATATTATGGGATTTACGGTAGATGGATGGATAGATAGAACATATAAAAGAGGATAACAAATTAAATTAGATTAGAAAATAATAATATATTGAAATTTCAGAATATATGGAAATTTCTTTTGTATCTCTCTGTTCTGTTTCTCAATCTAAATAGTCTTTCACTTTTGGACAGTCATCAATACTTTTGTCATATAGTGGTATTCACTCTTTGGGTATAAAAAATGCCCAAAGAGGTACACAAGTTAAAAAAGAGTTAGAAAACATCGCTCTACATGACAGTTTTGTTTAAAACTTTTTGTTTAAACTCAGCCTGTTTGATAGTAATTTAGAATATAAAGCAAAATATCTGCAACATTTACATTTGCACAGCATTTCCCTCATGATGGGTTTTGGAGGCAAGTGAAATATTGTCCAAACATTAAGTTATGGTTAGGAATCTGTTATTATTTTTCACTTTTACATCATTTTGCAATAATGCTTTGACTTTCACCATATATTCAATATTGTACTCCTGTTTGAGAAGCAATGACCACTGTGGTGCAGTTCCAAACAGAACTTACTGTTTTATTGTGCCAGTTGTCAGAGCACTGATAATCCACTGCAGGTCCAGAACTTTGAAAGGGATCAGCACCAGACTGGTGGTGTTGTCCAAGTCTATGGCACTCTCTGGGTACATGACGTGATGAGTTGTTCGTGTTCCTACATCTTCCTCAAACCCATCAGTAGGGGCCTGGTTCATCCTGGAGGGACAGACAAAAAACACCTGCAATTTAGCAGTTATTTCTCTTTCTTCCCATTATTTTTTCATTTGTCCAGAGTTTCTGTCCTTATCCATGGACATTTTGGTGTATTTTGAACTCACAAAGATAAAAATAAATAGTTACCACCAACAAATATGCTCCAGTGATTTATGTTTTACTCCAAACAATTCCTCCCAGAACACCCCAAAGGGGGATAAAGTACAGAGCTTGGCCAAAGAATCTGTATGTTTTTGGTATTTTTATATTTTGCAGCATTATATCCACACTCCTTAGTGTTGTTTACAAAAAGCAACAAATAGTAGATTTACGAAAAGTAGGAAAATGTGATACAGGGTTTCCAAGGTTATTTTCTAACTAAAATGTTAACACTGGCTGTGTCCTTCTTATACATCATTGGTATTTGAATCCTGCTGCTATAGGACTAGGGTGCCTGAGGACATGGGGACCGCTTTTTATCATTCTCTTTCTTCTGTTCTCCAATTCTACACGACTTGTTAGTTCAACCCATAACTTTATGTTCTCTCTGCTTTTCTTATCATAGTAGCTTCATCTGTTCTCTACTGTCATCAAAACCCTAGATGCTAGTTGATAGTCGGTCTGTTTTTCAGTGCTTAGTCCTGCCTCTCTCCTAGACATAGGTAAGAGCTCAGCTTTAATTGTATATAACTTTATGTGCTTTTTTTCAACTCTTTGAAATGAAAACTATCTCATAGCTTAGCTGTTTATTCCCTAGACAGATTCACCTGTGGAGTTGGTTTAGTGATAAGTTTTCTAACAAAATAAAGTTGACTATATAAATCTGTGCTTCTGTGTTCCTTTTGCATGTCTGCTTCCATGAACCCCAGTCAGATATAGCAGATGGTTGCCTACACTGAGCCTGGTTAAGCTGGAGATTGCTTTCTGTTAACGTTTTTTTCTCTCCACTATCACTGCATGCGCACTTGGTTTGAGGGATTGCTGTAAAGTCTAAGACATAAGTCATAGACTGCTTTGCATAACAATTTCTATTAAAACAAGTAACATTTTGGTACCATTGACCAAAACAATTAAACTGTGAATCAATTTGACTGTATGATCTGGTGAACTGTAAAGTGCCTTGAGATGACATGTAGTGAATTGGCGCTATAGAAATAAACTGAATTGAACACTTTTACCACTTGGCCCATCCAAGAAGAACAGGGGTCATTTAAAAAAAATAATGCATGGAATCTTTAATACTAACAATCAAAAAACAAAATGGTGGAAACAAAAACATTTCATATTTATCAAGCCATGCAAATGCACTAAAACAAGCAAGTTTCCACCTTCTGTTCTCCCTTTTTCAGGGCCAGATTGGTCCATGTGAAGCACCGCATGAACTTCATGTTTAATTAAATGAGCCAGCTGATCAAAGTTATTTTATAGTTACCAATGGCAACCGCAGGGAAGAGAGCTAAAACAGTTGAAACAGTTTAATCAAGGCAGAACTGGTGGACAGTTGGAAAAATATGTTTGGTAGCAACAATAGTAATATGAGAAATAAAAGAATCACAAATAAAAAAAAAGCAGATTTATATAGGGATTATATGAAGGAGATTAAAGGCAGAAGGCAGTACTGTGCTCTGTGCAGGTGGCTGTAATCAGTGAAGGGTTCTAGACGAAATGGAACAAGTATTCTTAATTTCTTATTTCACACATAAATCATCTTAGTCCATCTGCAAATTGTCTTTCCGCCTTAAATCGAAGTAAAATACTTAAAGAAATGTGCACTACAAGTAGTGCACTGCTTGTCTAAAGCAAAATATTGTTCTGTCTGTTTTCAGTACAGGGGCCAGAACCAGTTCTAGGGGGGCACTGGCCCCCGGCCGACCCTTGTCTAGAACCACTCATGGCTGCAATGTCTCAGTTTTATGGATTCATTCACAGAATTATTTTGTTCATAAAAGTTTCTCCAATCAGAGAGTTAATTGTTGATTATTTTGGAAACCTTTGGGGATATTTACTATGATAAAAACGGAAATTAACCCCAGAGATTTTTTTTTACCTGTTTTAAATAATCTGACTATAATTTTCAAATGCATTTCAAATCTTTAATATCCCATAAAATCCTGGCTATCCATATTTATTTTCTTTTTTGTTTTTTCCACATTAGGTCTGTCCTCACTGATCTGCTCCTGTTTACGTATGAAGGGCAGCTAGGTCAGTCTGTCTAATACTGGATCCCATACAGCACCTAGATAAAGGAGCAATGTTCCCAAAGTATGGGTCGGGACCCCCCTTCAGCAGGTTGGGAGTCACAAGATTTTTTCCAATCACTGGATTGTGATACCTGAGGTATGTGGAGGGCAAAAAATATATTATGAAATACATTAATGTGAATGTCCCATGAAACATTTACCATAAAATAAGCAGGTGTAACATTTAATGTAACACATGATTTAAATATTAGATATTTTGCTGTATTGTAAAGTACAAAATTAAAATAATTAAATGTCCCTTTACATAATAAAAAAAACATTTAAATTATAAGTTAACCAATTAAAAACATTCTTAAAACTATTTTAAATCAATATACATTTAATTAACATAGGGTTAATTATAAATACAGCGTGAACTAAGTGTATTTTTAGAGGGACGTCAATAGACAGACAACTTGGTTATCCTTGAGAACATGTTTCCTCCTAATTCTCATAGTTTTGATGTTCTGCAGACCAGAATCCATCACTACACTCGTAAACAGCCTAAAAGCAATCAAAGTGAGTGTTTAATTTATGTAGTGATCTTTGGTTTGACTCGCCCTGTAAATCATAGGTGGGGGGGGGGGGGGGGGGGGGGGAGAAAAAAGTGATAGTGAGAAAGATTTAAGCCGCTCATAGGCTTTTTAACATTATATTAAAGGTCCTTATATAGTTGTGTTCCACCAGTATAAGAAGCTGTAATATTGCAATACTAAATGTTTATGATGTAGATCTATATTTATCAGAAGTGTCAAGTTACAAAGTGTCAGGACTGCACTTTTTGGTTCTGTTTATGTTTTCTTTTGTGTGTTTTCAGTTATAAAGGTATTCTTTGCCCTCTGCTGCCCTCTTGTGTCACAATTTTTTTCGTAGCTCCCTTCTAGACTTCTCTATCTACACCTGCTCCCAATCTGCTGATTAGCCTGGTCTTTGTTCAGTCTCCCATTTATACACCTCATGTTCAGTCATTGTTTGCTGGTTTCTCATTGTTGTTTTGTTCCTCTGTCGTCTCCTTGCTCCCCATGTGTGTTTTCAGATAAGGTTTTCTTGTTTTTGGTTATCAGTATTTCGTATTTTTGCCCCTTTTTGCCTCTGGATGTTTATTAAATCATCAAAATAATTTGTTTTATCCAGACAATTCATTTCTATGTGGTTGGTTTTAGTGCTGTCCCAACTTATTGTTCATCACATACAAAAATAAATAATTTTTCAAGATGATGCAAAGTTAAATTTGACACTGTTACTATTAGTTATAAAACTAAAAAAATCAAATATAATAAGTATCATCCAGGATTTCAGAAAAATCTTCCTTTAACAGGGTAGTGTAGTAAAGCATTGGTCCTTAACCTTTTTTCTTGTATTACATTTACTTTTATAATTTAAGTAGTTTTAAAAATTGTACTTTTATATTTTTACCTGAATAAAAACCTTAAGTTGATACTCTAAGTTCTACAAACACCAAACCAAAACACTGCAAAATCACACCATATATATTTAATGCTCTAAACTTCCATATCAATGCATTTTTTTTCTTGCACTCTGTTTTTTCCTCCAACACTGTTTAAATTTGATCAATGCTGCACTGTCATGAAAAGCTGTACAAAAGAGAAATGTGGTCTTATTTAAACTCTGTATATACGAAATGACAAAACTTAAGTCTAACAAAAGTGTTTTAAACTGTAGGATTTATACTTTTACTTGAGTAATTAAAATTAATATTTTTAATACCTCCTATATTTATTGTTTTTAATAAAATAATACCGATCCTCTGAGAGGACTAATGTTGGCTTCAATTCTTCTCCTCGCTGTCAGTATCGCTGTTTTCCTCTGTCCTTAAAAATATGTGTACCGTTCACATGAGTCGTAACGCATACTTCCACTACATTTTGTTTTTTTTTTAATAAATGAAAAATTTTGCATAAAAATGTTTATATAAAAGTTCGAAGCCCTTATTTTGTGCACATGCAAACTCGATAAATAAAATGCCAGATTTGTAGAGTGCACAGCCAACTAGTGATGGATTTTATCACCTACAGCTGTTTCTCAGTTACCACGGGGTCCTGGCCACTTCTTTGATAATGTCCTTGACCAGCCTGTGACTCAAGATGGAAGGCCACGTCTTTGTAAATGGCAGCTTGTGCTATCCATATGCGCTGCTACAGTTTTACAGCTGGAGGAAGCAGTAAGTGGAGAAACACTAGATAGATCATAGAGTTTGGTCCGTTTAACAGAGTAACAAACTTCAAATGATTTTAGAGACCAGCTGGGTTTATATGAAGATTACATCACATACAGGTGGACTTTTTTTACCCATTAGTTGAATTTTATTTAGTGGAGTCCCCATGGTGTCTGCCAGGCAGGTATGAGTCAATGTTCTTACATTATTGTTGCAAAGACAATGCTTCGTTAATATGAATTTGACCAAAAAAAAAAAAAAAATCCAGAAGAGAAGCTTTTAAAAACTTATATAAATAAAAAATATTTTTTGAGAGTAACTTTGCAGTTTTATATTTATATATATAAAACAGAAAAAACAGCAAGGTTACCCTGTTTATCTTTTCAAATTAACTTTTTAAAAAAACCTTTCTTGCAAAAATTATGGAACAAAACTCACTCCATACTTGGAGAACCGGTTGCGGCAGAAAGGATTCTGGTGTAAAACCTTTGCCAGCTCTGATAAGTCATAACGACTTGCGGCAGAGCTGCTGTGAAGACCACAAAGAAGCTGAATTTTATCCGCTGTTTTTTAAGTATATGTGGGGT